GCCCAGCACCGAGCCGCCCAGCAGCCGAGCCGCCCAGCAGCCGAGCCGCCCTGCCGCCAAGCCGCACTACAGCCGAGCCGCCCAGCCGCCCAGACGCCGAGCCGCCGAGCTGCCGAGCCGCCCTACGGCCGAGCCGCCCGAGCTGCCCTGTCCGGTGAGCATAGTGCCCCTTTTATTGTTGCATCTGCTAGTCTACTGTGGTCATGGCTACCCCGAGTGTCCTCGCTTTTGACGCTGAGGGTCGAGCCATTGACTTTGAGGTCTGGATAGATGACCTGCAGCTGTTCTTACAGTGCGATAGGGCAGATGGTCTCTCTCTCTTTGACCTCACCTTTGGCGCCTCTCCTGCCCCTGCTGCTGATGCTGACGCCACTGTTTGCTCACAGTGGGCCACGCGCGACGCTGCTGCACGTCTTGCTGTGCGTCGCCACCTCCCTACCTCCGAGCGTGCGCACTTTAGTCAGAACAAGAGTGCTCAGACCTTGTACGACGCTGTAGTTGCGCGCTACTCCTCCCCTTCCACTGCTGCACTGAGCCGTCTCATGCTACCGTACCTCTTCCCTGACCTTGCTGCCTTTCCCACAGTCGCTGACCTCATTACGCACCTCCGCACTAGTGACACTCGCTACCGCGCTGCACTTCCCGCTGACTTCTGCGCCAAGAACCCCCCCCCCATGTACATCACTCTCTACTACATAGTCACTCGCCTCCCTGACTCCCTTCGCGTAGTCAGGGACCACTTTCTCTCTGTCTGTCCCACCACTCTCACTGTTGACCTCCTCGAGAATTCCCTCCTAGCGGCCGAGAAGAGCATAGTCGCTGCAGGGGCCTCTCGTGGTGACCCGCGCACCCCCATCTTTGAGGGGTGTTCCCCCTCCCCCCTTTTGCCCTCTGTTGCCTCTGCTATTACGGCCGACCTCCTTGGTCTTGAGTCGGTCGGTGCGGCGTCTGCCCCTACCGGGCGACGCCGCTCTGGCAAGGGCAAGGGGGGCAAGGGCACTGGAGGAGCGAGCAGGGGCGGTGGAGGTGGAGGTGGAGGCGGCGGGGGGAGTGGGGGTGGCGGTGGGAGTGGAGGTGGGGGTGGAGGTGTCGGTGGCGGCAGTGGAGGCGGAGGCGGCGGTGGCGGTGGCAGTGGGAGCGGGGGTAGCGGAGGTGGTGGCAGTGGACGAGGCGGCGGAGGCGGCGGTAGTAGCGGAGGCGGTGGAGGCGGTGGAGGCGGCGGGGGTGGCGGTGGAGCTGGTCGCGGGGTCTACGCCGAGGAGTGGCTCTGGTGGTGGTCAGCGCCAGCAGCAGCAGCACGGTCGTGAGACCCTGTCCCCTCAGCAGCTCCGTGAGTGGTACACTGCACGCCAGAGGGGTGGGGGTTTGGGTCCGTGCACCTACGTCCTGCGCACCGGCGACCGTGCGGGTGAGCAGTGTGGGGGGTGCGCACCCCACCCAGTGCTGCTTTGGCCGCCTGACGGACGCGTGGCGTGGCCAGTTCCCAGAGGCCAAAGAGATCCCTCGCTGGGGCGAGCTTTCTAGGGCGGGAGTTGCTATCTATGATCTTGATTTTGATGCTATTCTTTATGCCATGTATGTTGTGTCCATTAGTGATGAGGCTGGTTGTTACCGGTGTTTCCCGCCCGATCCGGGCATTGAGACTGCTGCTCTAGATACTGGTGAGGCTGCTGCCCTAGGTGCTTGCGACGCTGCTGGCTCTAGGTGCTAGTACGTCTGCTTCCTCAGGTACTGGTGAGTCTGCGCTCTCAGGTACTGCGCCTGCTTCGGCCTCCCTCACCTTCACTCTTGACTCTGGGGCCTCTCGCTCCTTCTTTCGCGACCGCACCACACTCACGCCGCTTCGTCGGCCAGTCGCGGTGTCTCTGGCTGACCCCTCAAGGGGTCCTGTCCTGTCTCACTTCTCCACAATCCTCCCGTGTCCGGCGGCTCCCTCTGGCACCCTGCCTGGTCTCTACCTCCCCACGTTCTCTACGAACTTGGTGAGTGGTGCTGACCTACAGGATGGGGGAGTCCACCAGTTCACTCCTGCGCGTCAGCGGGTGACGCACTGTACAGAGGCTAGCACAGGCCGACACCTGGCTACGTTTACCCGTCAGCCGGGGTCGAGCCTGTACACACTGACCACTCTGTCTCCTCCAGCTGCTGAGTCTGGTAGGGTAGCTGCGTCGGGTCAGGTGTTTGCTGCTGCGTCCAGGTCTGGTCCTGAGTCTGCCCCCTGTTCGTGTCGTCTCCTGTCTCACGAGACCCTCCTCTGGCACCACCGCCTTGGTCACCCCTCTCTGCTTTGGCTCAGAGGCATGGCCTCTCGTCTTCTTGTTTCTGGTCTCCCCCGGTCGAGGGGCGCCAGCGGGCTGCCCCTCACTCCTCCCAGTTTCCTCCGACAGAGGCCCCGCTGCAGACGCTTCACATGGACGTGTGGGGCCTAGCCCGCGTCCGTGGACAGGGTCACGAGAGCTACTTCCTGCTCGTTGTTGACGACTATTCGCGTTACACCACGGTCTTCCCCTTGCGCAGCAAGGGTGATGTCACTGAGGTGCTGATCGACTAGATCCGCGCAGCTCGTCTCCAGCTCAGGCAGAGCTTTAGCTCGGACTTTCCTGTTCTGCGTCTGCACTCGGACAGAGGCGGAGAGTTTTCTTCAGGCCTTTTGAGCGCCTACTGTTGCGCACGAGGCATCCGTCAAACCTTCACGCTTCCGGACTCCCCGCAGCAAATGGGATTGCTGAGCGCTGCATAGGCATGGTCATGGACGTCGCTCGTACGTCTATGATGCATGCGGCTGCTCCCCATTTTCTGAGGCCGTTTGCGGTGAGGTACGCGGCGCATCAGATCAACCTCCACCCCCGGGTCTCCAGGCCGGAGACCGCCCCAGCCTTGCTGTGGACGGGGAAGGTTGGCGATGCGTCGGCATTCCGGGTCTGGGGATCTCGGGCGTTTGTCCGCGACTTGTCTGCGCACAAGCTGTCCCCTCGTGCTGCTCCTTGCGTCTTCCTGGGGTTCCCCCCGACGCGCCTGGGTGGCAGTTCTACCACCCCACCTCTCGCCGTGTTTTGTCCTCCCAGGACGTCACGTTTGACGAGTCGGTCCCCTACTACCGCCTCTTTCCCTACCGCACTTCGTCCCTCCCCCCCCCCGCGCTCTTCCTTGTACCAGGTCCCCCCCCGGTAGACCCCCTCCCCCCTCAGGGTCCTGCTCCTTCAGGTGTGTCCCAGGTTGACGCAGTCGAGCCTGTCGAGGTTACTGGTGACTCTGGTGCTGCTGGAGGTGCTGAGCCTGGGGGTACTGCGACTAGGGGTGCTGTGCTTGGGGGTGCTGAGTCTTGGGGTGCTAAGCCTGGAGGTGCTGTGCTTGGAGGTGCTGAGCCTGGGGGTGCTGTGCCTGGGGGTGCTGAGCCTGGGGGTGCTGAGCCTGGGGGTGTTGAGCCTGGGGGTGCTTTACCCGGGGGTGCTGAGCTTAGAGGTGCTCCGCCTGGAGGTTCGCCGGATGCTTCGTCTCTGCGGGAGCCACTCTCTCCACTTGAGCTGCGCGAGTGGTTTGCCCGGCGCTGGAGGCGTGCTACTAGTGCTGGAGATTCTACGGCTACTGAGGGTGCTGCTGTCGCGGGTCCCGGAGGTGCTCGTACTGCGGGTACTGGAGCTGCTGGGCCTGCAGGTTCGACTGGAGCTGGTGCTGCTGAGGGTGTTGGCGCTGAGACTACTGTTGGCGGTCCTGCTGGGGGTACTACTGGTGCTGCTGGAGGTTCTGGAGCTGCTGGAGGTGCTGCTAGAGCGGGTGCTCCTGCTGGGAGTACTGGTGCTGTCCCTGCTGTGTCTTGCGTCGCCGCGCGGCCTCGACCGTACTTCGTTCCCCTCCTGCAGCAGGTTCTCGGTCTTCCGCCTTCTACTGGTCCTCCTTCTTCTTTAGAGTGTACACAGCCTGTCTCGTCGCAGTTCCAGTTGCAGCCTACCTCCCCTTTGCCTGCTCCTTCTCCCTACTCTGGTCCTACTGGAGGTCTTGCTGAGCGTCGTGAGCCTGCGTCTCGCCCTGCGTCGCCGGTTCGTGCTGCTCGCACTAGTGGTCGCGGTTCGCGTCAACGTCCACCACCTGTCCCTGGCACGCACCGGATGTCTCTGCGTCCGTCCACCGCTCCTCTGCGTGCCCCTTTACCTTCTCCTCCTGAGTCTTCTCTTCCTGCTCTTTCTGACCCGGAGTCGGACTCTCTTCGTGCTGCCAGTCCTACTCTCACGCGTCTTCTTGCTACTGTTGTCACTGACCCTTCTTTCGAGTCCACTGCTGCGTCTGCCCTTGTTACTGAGCTCGTCAACTTTGCTGCTCGCTGTCGCCTAGACTACGCTGCTAGTCTTGTCGCTGAGTCTGAGTCTGTCTGTCCTCCGTCCGTCGAGGGTGAGTGTGCCCTTGGCACGGACGTCCTTGAGGACAGGCAGGAGGAGTTCCAGTGTCTGGCAGCTGCTTCACCTCATCTCGTGTCCGTACTGCTTACCCCTGAGGGAGACCCGGATGCACTTGACATCCCGACTCCGCGCTCTTACGCGGAGGCGATAGAGGGTCCCTACTCCTCTTAGTGGCAGGCAGCTATGGATGCAGAGATGGCTTCCTGGAAGTCCACAGGCACCTACGTTGACGCTGTTCCCCCTCCTGGGGCGAACATCGTCAGTGGCATGTTGATCTTCAGGGTGAAGCGGCCGCCGGGTTCTCCGCCTGTCTTCAAGGCGCGTTACTTGGCTCGTGGCTTCAGTCAGCGGCAGGGAGTTGACTACTTTCAGACCTTCTCCCCCACCCCGAAGATGACCACTCTTCGGGTACTGCTGCACGTTGCTGCTCACCGTGACTACGAGCTGCACTCTCTCGACTTCAGCACTGCTTTCTTGCAGGGCAGCCTGCACGAGGAGATCTGGCTGCGCCGCCCACCTAGCTTCACTGGGTCTTTCCCTCCTGGTACCTAGTGGAGTCTCCGACGTCCAGTCTTCGGTCTCTGCCAGGCGCCACGTGAGTGGCACGACACACTGAGGACTACACTTGCGGCTCTTGGGTTTGCTCCTTCTACTGCCAACCCGTCGCTGTTTCTGCGCACCGACACCTCTCTGCCGCTGTTCTACATCCTCGTGTATGTCGACGACTTGGTCTTTGCCACAGCTGACACTGGTGGACTTGCCTACGTGAAGTCCGAGCTGCAGAAGAGACACACGTGCACTGACCTGGGTGAACTGCGAAGCTACCTTGGCCTGCAGATCACCCGAGACAGAGCACGCCGCACCATTACCCTGACTCTGTCACACATGGTGCAGCAGGTCCTTCAGCGCTTCGGCTTCACGTACTCCTCGCCTCAGGCCACTCCTCTGGCTACTCGACACTCACTCTCAGCTCTGCCTTCGGATGAGTCCATAGAGTCGAGTGGCCCGTATCCAGAGCTTGTTGGCTGCCTCATGTACCTGATGACCTGCACACGACCTGACCTTGCATACCCTCTTAGCATTCTTGCACGCTATGTTGCTCCTGGGAGACACCGACCAGAGCACATGGCTGCAGCGAAGAGGGTGTTGCGCTACTTGTGCAGTACGTCGGGCATGGGGCTAGTGCTTGGAGGGCGGAGTCCAGTGGTCCTCACTGGGCACGCGGACGCTTCTTGGGCTGACGACCAGGCTACGCAGCGGTCGTCACAGGGTTACACCTTCAGCCTTGGTTCCGGCTCTGTTTCGTGGCGAGCTACTCGCTCGTCTTCTGTTCTCGGCTCCAGTTGTGAGGCTGAGATCTACGCAGGGGCCATGGCTGCACAGGAGCTTCGTTGGCTCACCTACCTGCTGACCGACCTTGGAGAGCCGCCTCGTTCTCCTCCAGTCCTGTACGTAGACAACAAGGCCATGCTGGTCTTGTGTCGAGAGCAGAGATTGGAGCACAGAAGAAAGCACATTGCTCTTCGCTACTTCCTTGCTCGTGAGCTACAGCAGCGTGGTCAGTTGCGGCTTGCGTACGTGGCCTCTGAGGCCAACACTGCTGATGTCTTCACCAAGGCACTTGCGCCTTGTGATTATCAGCACTTCTGCACGCAGCTGGGTCTTGTGCCTGTTCTGCCTCACTTGCTCATCTCTTGACCTTGCTTGTACTGTTGCATATATATATACCCACTTGCTCTTGCTTGTCTAGCCTGATATATATATGTGATCCTGCATGTGAACTGGCCTTGTGGCCTTGAACTTGTGCTCGGAATGTGTGGTGACTTTGTGATCCACCCTGAGCTTGCTTTGCTTTGGTTTACTTGACAGGTCTTGTGACCCCTTATTCTCCCCCACTTTGCCTATGGGGGTGTGTCAAACTATAATGTTGTGTAGGCTCTAGTGGGGTAGCCTATATGGGGTACACAATTCTAGGGTTGCATACTTGTATCACTTTCATTCCTTAGTTATCCATTCTCGTTCATACTTTCTCACCAGCCAGGATTTCCGGACGCACTGTTCATTACCATTCAGGCAATAATGTTGACCATCTCGGCAATGTTGGTTACCATGGCGGCGATGCGAAGACAT